GGAGTGGGGAAGAGGGGGTGGTTGTTAGTGTTTGGCGCCGGCGGAGGGAGTCATTCCTGCAGCTGCACTTCCGGTCGGCATTTTGTTCTGAGAGGGAGAGACGGAACGAGAGAGAGAGACACACAGGGCTCCTTCCCCCCGCCCTCCCCCCCTCCCTCCGTCGGTACCGACTCACCCGACACCGCCAAGCCGCAGGGAGGGACGCCCCCGCCGGCAGGAGGATTGGTTCCCGGGCCCGCGGCGATGCCCCCCCGGTAGCTCGGGCCCCGGTCGGGTGTTTGTGAGTGTTTCTATGTGGGAGAAGGAGGAGGAGGAGGAAGAAGAAGCAGCGATTTGTCTTCGCCGCTGGTCTCCCCCCGGCTCTACATGTTCCCCGCACTGAGGAGACGGAAGAGGAGCCGTAGCCACCCCCCCTCCCGGCCCGGATTATAGTCTCTCGCCACCGCGGCCGCGGCCTCCTCTTGGATTCGGACGCCGATTCGCCCAGGTAAATTCCTGCTCTTTATTTCGGCGGCGGCGGCGGCGGCGGCGCCAGGTCCTCAGCGCTCCGCTCCGGCTCCCTCCCCGCCGCTGCCCCGGCCGCCCCGGCTCGCCCCGGCGGCGAGTCGAGAGTTCGCTCCTCTCCGGTGGCAGCCGCCCCGGCTGGCGGTGGTTTTGTGCCCGCTCTCGGCCGGCTCCCGGGCTGGGGACCGCGCTCCTGCCGGGCGGCCGGGGAGGCGTAGGCCCGGCGGAGAGTGCAGGCCGCGGGCCAGCGGAATCTACTTGAGCTCGGGGATTAGGAGCGCGCCGGGCTGAGCGGAGCGGCTGCTGGCCGGTGACAGGCCTCGCCCGGGAGCGGAGCCGTGGCTCGTGAGGAGGCGGAAACAATACAACTAACAGCGAATGTGCGCCGATCGTCCCCATATTTACAACTTTCCCGGTCCGGGAGCGGGGAGCGTCCCAGTGAAACAAACAACCCCCCTTCTCCCCCTGTGACCCCACGGAGGGAGGAAGTAGTTTCAGTTAGCGAGCCCAATGTAAATACTCCGACACGAAAACGGTGTAATTCTTGCTCTTTGTAAAACTTGTGTGGACGTGGGAAAGTTAATAAAGAGTCGTTTTCTTTTTGAAAGAATTGAGCCATCCACATCCATGTTTAATACAGAAAACCATAATGTAGAGGCGACTGTCCCCCCCTACCCCCCGGAGAGCTTTTATGTTGTTTGACAGTGTGTATTGCACATGGACTTTTAATTCAAAGTCAAGTATAAAGTACTTGACAGGTTTACTCTGCCACTTTATATTTGTATGCGTTATGTAAGGGCAATTTTAAACGACTGTGCATAAAGCACTCAGGTACTTCCTGACCCAAACATGTACAAGCATACAAAGAATTTTAAATGTTCTGAGTATTGTGCTGAGATAAGGATTAAGACGAATATTCTTTAAAAAGAGAGAAATTAAGTCATGCTTAAAATCTTTGAGAGGTTTTTGAAAAAGAAAGAAGGTGCCATCCTTTCATGTCAGGGCAGATCTTCTTGAGGTCCCAGGGTTGTCATTGGCTGTTTGTGCCATGATGTTTGACTGTGTAATGAGAGAGGTGTCGTTTTAATAGGTCAAATGTATCTGTAAATGCTGAAGAAAAATATCAGTTCTATCTTAACAAGTTCTAGTTCAGGAGAAGTGGTGAGGGCTTGTTTATGGAGGCCTTAGTAGATGGATAGAAGGGGGAGCCGCCAGGTTAAAAGTCCCCAGTCAGAGAAGTTGCATAGAGAAATACTGTAAATGTACCTGGCTTAGACCCTTTTGATACTTTGTTTCATATTCAGTGAAGGAAAACCCTTACTGGTTAAAATGAAGCATCGCTGCTCAATAAAGTTCCTTGTTTTGCTAGTGGGTGCCACTGGGTCGAAATATTTTGTTTCTTATTAAATGATTATTGTCACTGTTGAGTAAGTAACTTTTCTAAACCTTATTTTTGAGTTTAGCATCCTCCATACAACAAACTGTTTCACATTTACTACAAGCGTACGGATGAATGTTAGAAAGAGTGAAGTTAATATAGCTGTCACGTACAAGGCATGTTTTTAATGCTATAAATCCGTGTAGTAGTCAGTAGCGTGTCCGTGATTTGTATTGGTCAGGGAGCAGTTTGAATTTTAAAAAGCCTGAAGCTCCTGCTGAGCCCCAATCCCGGCCTCCCTCCCTCCCACTAATCTCCCATTCCTGTCTTTGTGCTGCCTGCTCCTGTTAGACACTGTTTGCCACGGGGCCTCAGGCCTACAGTGGGCTGGAGGTGGGGGGTGCGGATGGGGGACATGCCAAGGAGGGAATGCATAAGGGAGGAACTTTTCACATTTTAAGAAAAAGCTGAAGGTTTCGTTTTGGGGGGCCATGGGGTGTGGTAAGGGCTTCATTATAAATGTTTAAAAGGTTTTCATGTGTTCCTGTGGTTGTCTTTGCGACTTTTATTCATTAAAATACTAAGATGTTTGTCAAGGGATGAATGTATTTCCACTAAAGATGGGAAGAATAGTTCTTGTTTAGATTTCATCAGAAGCAACTTATGTTTAGAGCTTTTTAAGGGAGCCCTATGCAGATGCTTGATTCAGTGTGTTAAATACCAGTTTAATCTTTTTTTTCTTGAGCCTTTGGAATTTGATTATAGTTAATTATTCCTCCTATTTTCCCAGTGCTGCAGATCTAATAATTCTACATATGTAATACAAATTTTGTGATAGCTTTCATTAAGATAGCATAAACATTTCTTTAAAATATATTTGAAAATGTCGCTTGGCCTGGACCATTTAAATTGGGCATTTTTAAAAGAGAATACTCAAAAGTTAAACTTGAACTTTAAACTTTTGATAACTTAATTGGAGAGGATAATTTGTGTTCTACTGATGGTCTGTTGGGCCTCTCCTGTATTGAGATACTTACCAGTGGCTAACCTTGTACAGTATTTCCATTTTTTTAAAAAGTCAGTGAAAAGAGACAAACATTAAGTGTTCCAGTATTCTTAAAATTCTAGTTATATTATTTGACTTGAAGACAATTTTAAACTAAGTAATAAATCTAGTAAATTCATATTGAACATTAAATATCTTCAGTGTTTTGAGAAGTATATATAGAATGCTTCCTTTTTAAAGTCATTCAAACATTTGTTTAGTGGAATTATTTGAGTGTATTTTTGAACCTGTGCTAGGTATGATTATACTACTGTCTACATTTTTTAAAAAATATTTTTGAAGAAAGACTTTGAGATTCTCTTTAGGGGTAAAAGTGAAACTTTTTACAACAGTAGTAAACAATTTTGGCTCTGCACAGTGGTCATTATTAAATTTTAAAAATATAAGCAAAACAAGGCACTGAAACATGAAAACATTTGGGGGATGGGGGACGGGGCTAGAGTACCAACACAAACATGTCTTTTCTAAGGCTTCCTAACCTAATTCCATACTTAATTTTTTTGTACTAATAAATGATTACATTGTCATAGAAATATCTGAACTGTGTTAGATTTTGACATAACCTATTGTAGTGTTGCTGCTTTCTCAAAATTGGATGCATAATTAATAATAGATGAGTAAATAAAAACTCAATTTGAGTTTTAGGTACTTTCATTTAACTTTTTATTGCTTACTAGGAAAAGCATAATTCGTAAATAAGTCTAAAATTTTAAACTAATATTTCACTTTTGTATTAGGTGATTGGGAGGTCTGAGGTAAATAAAATTCTATTTAGAGAAATGTTTTAATTCTATCACATTTATTTGTCATAATATAAATAGGAAAGTACTGGCTAAGTACCTTTATAGAAGCTTGATAATTAACTGTTTTGTTGAAGATGCTTATTTTAATATCCTAAGCATAGTGAACTGGCTTTCGTAGTAATTTATGGCCTTACAGCCTTCAAAGATCACTTTTTAAGCAAAGTTTTTCCTATTTTCAACAGTTGTCATTTATATTAATTTTTTGTATTTTTAAACTGGTCCTTCTTCAAGGTGACCTGAGTCTGTTTAGAAATACTCTCATGTTTCTGTGAGAGAAATGACCAGCATGATTTCTAGTTTTTGACAAAAAACTTGACACTAGAGACCAGGTGATTTGCGTAGATTCCTAGAGTGAATCAGTTGAAGAAGAAAGGATTTTCTGACACTTACTAGTTTTCTTTAAATAGATTATGTTGCTTTAAGAAATTTCTGAGCTTTCATTTTGAAGGTAGGTGTTGCTCAGTGCTGACACTGATATCATTTGTGACTTCTTCAATTATCTGAGTTCAAGTTACTTTTTCCTCTTTTTCTTTTTAATCTTTGAGAGATGATAACTGTTTCTTGTAAGTGTTTTCCTATAAAGTAGAACTTTTACATTAGAAATCCTGGCAGCCTTGGGTGTATGTGTTTGGTGTTTGAATGACTGTTTTTATTTTCATGTGTCCCTACAGAGAAGTATAAGTGAGTAACCATATTGTTAGGAAATGATATTAATGTCTCCTGAAATGTTGGGTTTTTAAAATTTTATTTAAAAATTACTAGAGTGAATTTTAGTGTTTCTAGTTAGTTTGAAAGCATTTTTTAAAACCATGTTTCTTAATTGAAGGCCATCATTGTAATTATAAAAGGTATTTTATGTGCTCCAAACAGTTTGCCTACAGAAGTAAAGTAATAAAAGTGATTTTAGGTTTTGTCTTTTATGTAATTTTGATTTGGTATAAATTTGTAATTAATTTTAATGGGTTGGGTTTGTAAGTTTGCATTGTCTTAAAGCATATTTCTTTCTATTCCCAAAGTGATATTAAGAGAGATTGATTATTTTACTAGCATTGCCTGATAGATTTTGCCGCATAAGATTTTGAGGGCTTATTATTTGCAGGAATTGTGTTAACTATCTTCCTATAGTATTATCTCATGTAATTCTTCTAGTAAGACTTAAATAAAAATGGTTATTATCCAGCTTAAAGAAGAAAGAAACTGAGATTGGGAAGGTTTAGAAAATTGTCCAGGATGTGTGTTTGTGTGTGTGTGTGTGTGTGTGTGTGTGTGTGTGTGTGTTTGTGTGTGTCCGTCCCATACTGGGGGTGGAATCTGAGGCCTTTCCAGTGGACTACATCATCAGCCTTTTGCCTATTGATTATTTTTGAGACAGGGTTTTGCTGTCAGTAAATCACATGGGCTAGGTTGGAATTCAGATACTCCTGCCTCAGCCTCTTGAAGTGCTGGGATAACAGGCATGCCCAGCCAGATCTAACTTGCCTGTGGTCTTATAATTAGTAAATGATTAGTCTGATTAACATTTATTCTTAAGGATTTAGAACTGTGAATTTCTAGTTTTAGTAAAATCTTAATATTCTTTTGGTTGGTCAATATTTAAAAGCCATATAGTCAAGGAAATTATATACATCAGGCAAAGACACTAAAATAGAATTCAGGCTATATATCCAAGATATGTGTTCTTGAAATCAACAGATATTTATTATCTTTTAATTTTGTTAAAAGGTCTATGAATTTTTTTAAGATTTTATATTGACATCTTTTTTTGACAAATAATTTAGCTTTAGACAAGATACAGCTTTAGAGAGTGATTTCATTCATACAGATGTATGCGACTAATTGTATAGTAGATGCCTATAAATTAGTATGACTAATATTTTTTTTAATTCCAGTATTTATGCTGGAATGTTGATCCTCTTGAAGATTTGAGAGGTTGTGCAGTTAATCCATAGCTTTGCCCATTACAAAATAACCTTATAGGCAGTTCTTTGTAAAACTTTTTTTATCCTTTATGGTGAGTCTTTATTTTCAGGATAAATTTGAATTTCGAATACTGTAAGAAAACTAATACTTACTAAGGTCTATGTTAAATGTTATGTTCACTGCTTTTACATTTATAATATGTAATACTCTTGAATGATTCCAATGTGCCAGA